TTATAAAGACATAGATGCGCAAGTTTAGTGTAGAAGAACTGGCCTGCAGAGTCCTGATCTCAAAATACCAGAACATCTTTGGGACGAATTAGACCGGAGACTGCAAGTCAGGACATCCTGTCCAACATCAGTGTCTGAGTTCACTAATAAATTCCCATAAACACACCTAAACCCACGGAAAGCCTTCCCAGAAGAGTTGAAGCTGTTATAGCTGCAAAGGGTGAGCTGAGATCATATTAAACCCAAAGGATTAAGAATAGGATGTCTCTCAAGTTCACATGTGTGAAGGCAGACAACCAAATACTTTTGGCCATATAGTGTAGTATATAAAGGAAGCACTGTGGTAGATGCATTCCAAAGTGGCTTGCAGATGTGCAGGAACTGTGAGCATGAGCTCAACAGATCTTCTAGTCTATTAACACAGAGTTGAACCTAAGCCTAAGCTTGACTTCATGACCTGCCGTTTTTGATTTTGTGAAGGAGTATTAAGCTGTGTTCTCGTCCTCTTGTTTACAGCATCGGCACAGATTCAGTCGCAGCCATTTCGATATCAACAGAGATGAAAAAGAAGTCCAGGAGATCTTCCAGAGAACCATGAGGAACCGACTGAAGTCGTTCACGTCTGCAAAAATGGGCGTCAAACCACCAAAGACGATTGTCAAGCACACACAAAAAGAACAGCAGCAGAAGGTCATAACTTCATTTCTATATTTATTTTCTTCCTGAAGTAAAATACCACTTTTCAAAACTTTTTAAAACTGTTTTATACTATCTTTATCTCATGTTTAGACATAATTAACATTTTCAGTATTTAGATTTTTTTTTTTTATCATGTCTGTGGCTACAATGTAGCTCTCCATCACCAGTGTGTGAATGTGTGTGTGAATGGGTGGATGACTGGTTGTGTAAAGCGCTTTGGGGTCCTTAGGGACTAGTAAAGCGCTATAAAGGCCATTTGCCATTTTCCCAAAAAATCAATAGAACTGATTTTTAAGTTGGATACTGATACCAATATTTGATGGCGGTTAACAAATTTAATAGACCACCAACCAGCAAGATTTATAGCACAGCTGCCCTAAATTAACAGTATTAGCAATTACAGAAATCATTTTTATTTTTCTGTAGTTGATAATCCACCAGTATGCTTACACATTTGGTTGAAAGTCATATTTTTAATTCTGAAACATAATTATTCTTGTTATCCACGAATTCTCAAATGTTTTACAAAAAGAAGAAAAAATAATAAAGAGCATTATGGTTTTTGGCGAAGATGCCAAATTACAGTTATTGGCATTCCTGAAGATAAATTTGTTTAAGTGGTTGAATTTTATGCTTCATTAATATCTCAATTCTCAGAAAAGTCCAGTGTTTCGACTCAAATTTGGGCATCAGATCATTTTTTCTTTCAGACACATGAAACATGAACAAATCTCTCAAACAGTTTTTATGTGCATTTATTTAATTGGTTGTTTACGCTCTACATAACTCTGCTTGGACCAGCTGGTTGTTGTGTTTGTGAGGGTCCAAGCAAGTGTATCGCTAACAGTGAAGTTACAGAGTTCCCTCTGGTGGACAAACTATCACGTTTCTTGTTACTTTATTCATTTTCATTGGTCAGCTGCTATAAATGCCGATACCAATCAGCCATCAAATAGCTAATATATTCCTATATTATTGGCCTACTCATAAAATTGTTGGGCTTTACTAATCTTTTATCCGAAAATTAAAAATGCTACCAAGTCCTAAACATGAGAACAAATGAATATGACTTAGAATTTCACTTTTTGAACCACAGCTAATAATCTAATGACTTGTCTTCTTGTTACAGATGCCTAATGGAAAGTCAATGGACAAGGCTAAAACCAGCTATTCTGGTGATGAGGGTTTGTATGATTGTTGGGTGTTTTTTTTCTTCAGATTTAAAATATGTAAGCACTTAGAGAGCCAATGAAAATCTTGTCATGTTCATTTTTAGGCTCAGAGGGAGACAGCGCTTCTGGCTATGACCAATCATACATGAGAGCCACGTACAGAGCAGGAGGTAAAACAAGTCTGTAAATCATGTATCTAAGAGCAAACATATATTTTTCAAGAGTGACCAAGAGAGTAGCTGGTCACTATAACTGGTCACTATAGTAACTATAAACACAAATATTACAGAACCATGCTTTAAATGCAATTAAGGTCAAAATAGATACAATATGAAACAAACTCCCTTCAGTGCAAAAATTACTTGAGTACCATTTTAAAAATTTAATCTTTAAAATGAAATTCTCAGTTTTCAGTCTTTCTGTTTGTGTGCTGCACAGAAAGGTGCAGCACACAGCAGGAAATAGTCATCCTCAGGCTCGCACTACTGGAAATACCGTATGTGGTTTATGTAAGGGTGAGCTGCAGGGTAAAAGTACCCGACTGTCATACATCATATGGACTTTGTACTAGTGGACTGGCAGGTTAAAGCCTGGCTAATGTTCGATTCATTTCTTTTGAACGTTTTCCTTCTAACCTGTTGGGAACAGTTTATGGCTGCAGTGCATGTGTGAAGACAGCTCATTATCGTAGAATTGCCTAATTCTGCTCCGACTCCACAAACGTTTGTAAAATATTTCCAGAGAACTGAAGCTGTGTTGAATTTAATTTATGTACACAGACGAGAAGCATCAAGCACACAGTGTCAAATCTCATAAATCCATATAGCTCGTAAAAGTACACATTTTACTGTTTTGTGAAAAAGATTATCTTATGTTGAATTTGATGTTAGCAGTAATCGTAAAAAGTTAAGACGGTTGGAAATTAGGTGGTACTAAAAAGAATTAGCTGGAAGAACATTTTTCTAGTTTAACTGGTAACAGAACAGTAACATGACTATGTCTAAAAAGATTATCTTTGAGAGGCAGAGTTTATCAGAACGAAACATGGGTAGAAGTTCATCAATCTGCAAAATGTTGTCTACAGATCAAGGAACAATTTTAGAAAAATGTTCCTCAAAATAAAACGGCAAAGACTTTGATTATTTCATCACAAGACTCAGAAAATCTGGAGAAATCTCTGTGTGCAAAAAACATGGCCAAAGATCCTCAACAGATTCCTGTGATCTTTGGATTAAAAACTGCATTAAAAACTGTCATGACACCGTTTAGGAAATCACAGCATGGGCTCAGAAACACCTCCACATGTTGTCTGTGAACAAAGTTAACCACGACATGCAGAAACGCAGCTCACTTGAAATGAACTGGATGGGACACATGGACACTGCACTGTTATTAGCACTCACTTCAAAAGATTGCATCTCTAATGGTATGGGGGTATATTAATGCCTATGGAAGAAAAGTGGAAGCTAGACTGTTGGAAACATTACTCTCTCCAAACTTCAGACATGTTCCTACGACCATTGAAATTGCCTTATTTTTTTCTTTTTGTCATTTTAAACGTGACACGTTCTATTATAAATTATATTTGCAAATCGTTGAGAACAACAGAAGCCATAATATAGAAACCGGAGGTCCTAATTCAGTTTCTTTTGTTCATCCAGCTGGGATTGAGAACCCAGCCTTCATGCCGGACCTGGACCCCATGGATTTGTTGCAGATTCCGCCTTGGCTTGGGGAGAGTGAGCTCGACAGCAGCATGGTGGCTCTGTCACATCGAGCCCAGGTGGATTTGCCAAGGACCCCAAGCAACCTGCGCCGCCTGGCCCCTCTTCGTATCAGCACTCGCTCCACTGACTCCTTCACACTGGAGAACATTCCTGACACACAGCAGATGGACAGCGATCAATTGCAGCCGCCCCCTCCTCCTCCTCGTCCTCCCAGAGACGATGGCTACGTGTAGCTGGATCCCAACCCAAACACTCAACTCTGCCTCACTTGAATCTGGCTGCCAAAGAAACAAAACTAAACTCAGAACGTTAAACTGTGTACTCTAAGAATATTGACTAGGAAATATATTCTTTTCCATTTATGTGATAACCTTAACTCCTGTGTTTCTACACAAAACACTGACAGTTTCATGACCTGCGTGTTCTTTAGACTGCTCCTGTTTTTGTTTTAGGTTCACGCTTCCCTGGGCAAAAGAAAACTGCACTTAGAGCAAAGCATGTTATTCACAGGGCACATAGAACACTGTTAAATATTGTCCTGTGGCTCAATATTAACATGCAATTGCAAATCATTACTTAAGGTTGTTTTCCCTTAAATGTGATGCAACAAATAGAAGCAAAAAAAAAAAACAAAAAAAAAATCCCAAATATATATTTTTGTTTAGGTCTCAAAAATAAAAAATACGATTTAAAAAAAAAAAAGATTGAAAATTGATTCTGAATCAATAATATATAGACATGCTTGTGTTTTTCCTCAGAATTGCAACTGAGGTTAAATAATAAACTTGAATAATAAAACAGTTGTAGAAATGTCACATATATGATGAGGCAATATATTTATTTGTGAATATAGTGCATCTCGAATATATATATATAGACTGTAATCATTTAAATATGGATTTAAAAAGAGAAATTGTATTTGTTTTGTTTCTGTGGAGTCAGTCAAAAAAAAAAAATCCAAATTAAAACAGAAAAAGATGCATCCAGAGACATTTAATCAACTCTTTCTAAATCACAAACTCTAGATAATTAAAATAAGTCATTAACAGGAATAGGATATTTATTTTAGGTCTCAATACTTTCTAGCTTAGTTACTGAATTCACTGTACTCATGTTTTGACCGCCCCAGTCCCACAACAAGCTACACTGGTGACACAATTAAATATCACCATAAACTAGTAGAAAAATTACAAAAGTCATTTTGTTTATAAATAATCCATTTCTGAGGTTTCCAAATGTTTTGTGACATAGTCCAAAATTATTTTTTCGTTTCCAGAGTCCTTCAGGTAGAAATGAGATCCGTGGAACATCTTTATGGAGAAATCTCCTGATGTGATGTCTTTCCAAGCTGTTAATAAAACACACACACACACACACACACACACACACACACACACACACACACACACACACACTAATTTCACTTGATCACCTGTAAATCAAAGTCTTTCACGTACTCAGTCACACATTCTTGCTGCCTCTGGTTCAGATCCCGTGCTCTCTAGTAAGAAACAGTTAGCATTAGTTAACACTGCCCAGCAAAAGATTTACTCAGCCCGACGGCCGCAGACATCCCTGGACCAGGTGAAGCCATAAACCAGGTAGATCATCATTTACTAACCGAAGCTAACTCCACCTGACATTTTTTTAAAGGTGGTTTTCACCACATAAGAAACATCCTGACAAACGCCATCCACTCACTGTGAAACGGGGCTTTCGGTGTGTACATTTTAATTTGATTATTAACTTGTGTTTAATTATGTAATTATTAATGTATGCTTTTAAATTTATTTACTACTCTGCTTGAGCGCTTTGTGCTACAAGGCTCATTCACCCATTCATACATACAAGAGGTTGTTTCTATGGCTGAGTGCTTTCGATCTAACTTTCACACTCCGATGAACAAACTGCAAGATACTGAAGTCAGAGTTCAGTAGAAGGAGACGGATTGTTAGGGTTACGTAAACACTGCTCTGCAAAACAAAGAAGGGAGAAGCACAAAGTAGCAATTTGCATTTAAGTCAATGTAATAACCATAAGAGTAACGTACAGCCCCTTCTTGGCCTGTTAGAGCACTGACCTTGTAAATCATGAGGAATGTCATCCTTCCCGTCAAAACACGTGACCGGGCAGGAGAAAAGCGGGCTGCTCGCCTTGTTACATCTGCAGAGAGGTCAGCAACTCCCATCACTGACAACATCTACGCTTGGTTTTAGAAATGTTAAGAGCAGATTAAGTAACAGACAGCTGTCCGCCCACCTGTAGTTCTCCACTACGTGCAGGTCAGCCTTCAGGGCGGGAAGGAAGAGCTTGAGGACTTCAGGGTTCGCCAGCAGCTCAGGAGGAGTTCCTCCAATCGAAATTAACCACTTAAGAAAATCTTCATCAGACAAGTCGCTTCGCTTTGGGGTTTTAATGCGAGTCTCTGACTTAAAGACAAAGAACAACACAGTACAGTGCTGTTGTCGTGTCATATCAACAACACCCAACTCTTTTCTTACGTTAAAGAGGCCAAATTACAAACGTATAGCTTTTCCAAATGTTATCACTGATGTTTGTTGAATATGAACATCAGGATTCGTAGATCAGGGCTTTCATGGCAGTTATGTGTGTACAGATTGAGTCTAATTAATTTAAATGGATTTTAAAATACGTGATTAGCTTATAGTGAATATAGTTTCAATGAAAGAATTTTAATCTCTTTGGTGATCCGAGTTTTGGGTAAAAATTATGTGGCAGAAGCACAGAAATGTAGAATAAAGCATGAAGTGGTGACATAACAGCACAGAGAGGATTTTCACGTTTGTCACTGCAGATTTGAAGTCCACAGCCCCAAAAAACAGGGTTATGTTTGTCTTTTTTTGCTTCGTGGAACTAATAAATATCACAAGCAATGAAAGAAAAAAATACTTAAAAAGCATATTCCAAGCAAAAAAAAGACTCAAGTAATAAGAAGTTTTCCAGGTCATCCAGTAGTTTTACTTACATAAGGTGCAGAAGCACCAGACAGAAAGATGTGAACTGGCTCCATGTTGTGAATTTTCTTCAGCGCGTCTGCAACAGCGAAGCTTGTGAAGGCACCGAAACTGAAACAGATTAGAATTTTTTCTTTATGTTGCAGGGATTAAAACCATGCAGTGTTCTGTTTATGACGACAGCCTTGTTTTTATTCAGGGATCATTTTTTCTCGCCATACCTGTGGCCAAACAGAGCGAATGGCTTCTCCTTTAGCAGCGGCAACAACACACTAATCACTTCATCCACGATCTGCTGCATGTTTTCAAAGAATGGCTCTTTAGCTCGACTCTCTCTGCCGGGAAGTTTGACAGCCAACACTACAAAAAAAAAAAAGGAAGAAAGAAAGAAAAACAGTTCAAAGCATAAAAGTCCTCTGAGGCATGTGTAGAAACCTAATTCTGATGATTGATTGTTTTTAAATGCCAGGTCTGTTTTTAAGTGACGGACTAGAGTGCTGGCAATTCTGTTCATAACTGGCATGAGGTTGCAGACACAAGCCGTGGAAAACAGCTTTCTCTGAAGGGTGGCTGGCTTGTCCCTTACAGACAGGGTCAGGAGTTCATTCATTCGGGACTCAGAGGAGAACTACTACTCCTCTACTACACTACCACTGGAGCTTATCCCAGCTGTCATAGGGCATGAGGCGCAGTACACGCCAGAGTTGGTCGCCACTCTTTCACAGGACGAACACACACACACACACAGACAACCATTCACATCTATTTGCAATTTAGAATCACCAATTAACCGAACCCCAATAACTGCAAGTGATTTAACTGTGGGAAGATGCTGGAGTATCTGGATAGAAGCCACAATGTGCTAGAGCGCATGCTAACAGAAAGGTCCCGGCCAGAGTTGCGAATTCGAACCCAGGACCTTCTTGGTGTGAGGGAACAGCGCTAATGCCACCACCTGTAGACACGAGACAAAGACACGAACGCGGAGGCAGCAAGAATAAAAGCAAACTACATGAGAGAGACAGAGTTCAGTAAAAACTAATGATCAAATGCAAATAGGTGTGTAAACATGCAAAGACTGAGAAGACACTAATCACGGGAAGCCCTCCAGCAGACTAAATGTATTGCAGCATGATTGGGGGACAGTTCAGGGTCACCTGATCCAGCTCTGGCTTATAAACTTTAATTAAAAAGAAAGTTTTAAGGCTGATCTTAAACAGCAAAGTCCTCTGCTGAGATATTAAGGTACTATGAAGTCTTTAAGATACGATGGGGCCTGATTATTGATTATTTTGTATGTGAGGAGAAGGATTTTAAAAACTATACATTTAAAAGTTAAAAGGTAATCTTGATATATAATTATGGCAAAACGTTTTTCTAAGGTGTAGTTTTTTCCCCTCAACTCTTTTGCAGATAACAAAATTTAGTCAAGAGCCAAGAATTTATTCTGTGCTCCAAAAATCTTTAGTCCAGCTGTCCTTTAGTCATAAACACAGACGAGAAGACTAGTTATACCAGACCACCACATTTCTTTTCCACTTGCTTCCTGGAGCTTTCGTTACAACGTGCAAGCACGTACACGTGAAATGCTTTCTGGGCACCTCACCTTCAACAGAGCTGCTGAGGACATTTCCCCAGCGAGCGTAGTGTATGGACCCTCCACCTGCCCAGGGGAAGCAGATCAGTCTGGCCACAGCATCTGGTCTTTTCTTGAAACAGTTTACCACCTTGTCCATGCTGATTAAGGAGAACAAGAACATTACGACCTGAGATTTGTTTGCACTTGTGTTAAAACAAGAGGTTATTTTAAAAAATCTACCTATTGCTTTCTGTCTGCTCCATTAACTTCTTCTAGGAAAATCCTGGGAAGCGTTCAGTGTAACATTTCCTTATTGGCTTCTTCTTCATGATGAATTCACTGGCGCTTAGCACACGTCGAACTGGTGCAATACCGCCACCAACCGGTGCTCATTGGGAAAAATCAAACATGCGATTTCTGCAGTGAATCTTTGCAGATAAGGTAGCCGGAAATGCACAGACAGGAAAATTTAAATCGCCTGTAACAATTCCAGGGAGGTGCAGATAAAGGCACAGGTTACAGGAAGCAGCTGAATGTACCTGATGAATCCCACCAAGCAACTTTCTGAGTTCTTTTGAAGTGTATCAGTAATAGCCAGGTTGACTTCCATTTTCCCCTAGGTTTTGGGCCAGCTGCTTTCTCTGATCCTCATATTTCAGTATAAATAAATCGTGTTACCTCTTTTCCACAATAGCTATAATATATGGAATGCCAGGACTGCCAAAATGAATTAATTAAATACACCAATTAAATAATTAATTAAATGTGTCATTAATTAAATAAAATGGAACGTAATTAAATACATATTTATGGCATATTTAATTAATTATTTATTGCCATATTAATTATTGACAGTGTTGGGGAGTAACGGAATACATGTACCGCCGTTACGTATTTAAAATACAAAATATGAGTAACTGTATTCCGTTACAGGTACCGTTTAAAAAGGTGGTATTCAGAATACAGTTACTTTGTTGAAATAAATGGATTACACTGCGGTACTTTCCTGTTTCATATTGTCGCGGGTCAGGACTGTTTGGGTTTTGTTTGACAGCTACGTTCTGTTGTTCCAGGCGGCTGCGTTACGGTTGCCATCGTTACAGGGCGACGCTCTCTCTCTCTCTGCGACTGTGTGTTTCCTGGGTGAGAGAGCGCCTTTTCGTTGTTGTTGTTGTGCTAAGCTAACAGGCAGAATGCTACAAGCATAGCTCTAAAGAATGTAGCATCATGGGCAGTGTAGTCCGTGCTGCAGGGAGAATGGACCGCCATACACGTTATGGGTCTGTGAGCGCGAGGAGGGAGGAAAAGGGGAGTGGAAAGGTACGAGTTGTCATCGAGGAAAAACGGGAGCTGGAAGCATGTAAATATAATAATAACCACTGCAGCCAAGAAGAGAGCCTGACGAGCCCAGTTGTAAGTAAGCTATTAAGACTCGACTGTACACCGTGTTCGTGTTTTCCTCCGAAAACAATAAGTTCCGTTGGAGCAGCCTTTCAACGCCTCTCTCTGTCTCTCGCAAGAAAAGTTGACCACACAACAAAGTAACGCTATTTTTCGGCTACGAGCCGACAGGGACCCCGCCTTATTAGTCAGAGGTCCCTTTACTACAGTTCGGAGTCGCGGACCTTCCGTAATAGTAATAAATCACACAGCAATAGTACATTCACGTTGTTGTAAAAAGCATGATAATATATTAAGTAATCCAAAGTATTCAGAATACGTTACTGTCATTGAGTAACGTAACGGAATACGTTACAGAATACATTTTGGGGCATGTATTCTGTAATCTGTAATGGAATACATTTTAAAAGTAACCTTCCCAACACTGATTATTGATACATTTCATTAATTATTTAATGGTGTATTTAATTAATTCATTTTGGCAGTCCTGAACCCTAGGGCCAGGACTGCCAAAATGAAATAAATAAATGAGGAAGTAAAACTGAACTTGAATCTTAATGTCTTAATGTGCTTCTTCTTTAGCCACTCCTCTGTTTTCTTGGTGGTACGTTTTGGCCTCGTCCATTGGCCCCTCAGTCCGGTGATGTCCTCCTTTATACTTAGCAGAAAAACAGCCCTGGGGCTCGAACTGGCAACCTTCCAATTGCAAGGCGAACTCCCAACTCTTGAGCCAGGATCGCCCCAAATCATAATATTTCCCCTGTACTTAACTGTGGGGATGATATTCTGCAGCTCGTAGTCTGCATTTCTCTTCATCCCAACGCTGCAGGTCGAGCTGATGCCAAAGAGTTTGATTTTGGTTTCATCTTACCACCGCTCTTTCTTCTAAACCTTCTCTGAATCATCTCTGAAGTTCACTGGCAAACTTAAGATGGGCCTGGACTCGTGTCCTCTTGAGCAGGAGGACCTTGCCGCTGCTGCAAGATTTCAATCAATGATGTAGTGTGTTACCAGTAGTGTTCTAGGTGACTGTGGTCCCAACTGCAACCAAGAGTTGCCACCATCTCACCAAGCTTCTTGTTGATGGTCTTGTAACCCATTCCAGCCTTGTACAGTTCTTTGGTCTTGCCCATATTGGTGGAGAGGCTGGAATCGAAGAGAGGTGTGTTTCAGGAACATAACGAGTTGAGTGCAGGAATATCTGTAGCTGATTGTACTCTGCGTGCCACATGGGTACACAGCCAATCTGTGGGAGCTGGAATTCTGGCTGGATTTTATGGGATCAAATTTTATTTCACTCAATGAGGTGCAAATCAACTTAGAACTTTTATGTAATGTGTTTGTTTTCTGAATTTTTGGTTGACATTCTATTTCCTTCCTATAAAATGAGTCTCATTTTTATGAAACTACCATAAAAATTCGATTCTTTTCTTTAAAAGTGAGCAAACTTACAAATTCAACAGGGATCAAATAATCATTTCACTATTATAAATTCTGTTTCTATCATCCCAGAGCTCTTTAATTCTCTTTTTCTGGGAAGGTTCAAGTATGAAGAAATCTGTCTGTGGCCTTGTAAATATGCCCAGTAGTTATGTTATTTTTCCAATTTCTGCTTATAATACTGCTGTCCCTGTTGTTTTAATTGAACATGTACAAGTCTTAGAGCCTAGTGTTTGTTAGAATTTAACTAATGCATAACCATTCACTGCAGACTCATAATCCAGTACTTATCTGAATAATTGCTCTGGCCTTTTCACAAAAACTTTCTTCCTCTCTTCATTATTGCAAAATGTGAAAAGTCACTCTCACTATCCATAAACAAATTGTTTATCATAAAGGGCTCACTTCTTTCCTATTCTTACTTGTATTTGCCTTCATAATAGAATTTCCTCCATCTACCTGTGCATTCAGTCTGTATTTCCCAGGTTTATGATTGAGGCAGATGTAAAATTATATGAATGGTTTCTGGGGACATCTACAGTACGGAGTAAGCAACTTGCATGAGGTGTGTCACTGTGTCTTTGACTTGCTTTGACTGTTACAATACCTGAGCAAACAGGTCAAGCCACAGAAAATTACGACAGCTAAAATGCAAATAGAATACGTCTTACTTATAAACCTGACGTACATAGTTTAGAAAAAAGTTTCACAGATGTGACGTTACTGCCTTCAGATGGTATTTCCTGATGGAGTAAATCAAATTAAAATATTCCTTTTGTCTTAATCAAAGCCTCTAAACCAACTGAGAATGTCTTGGGAGTCTACATAAGGCGTCACCATTCTTATATTGATCTGAATTGTTGTTAAGGCGCTGTTCAGAGTTACAACAGTTAGATTTCCCTGAAAGTAACATTTGGTTATATGTGGCTGAAAGTAAATCTTTGAAGCCTACCATTTTGCCACAGCCACAGCTGAAATGTTTCTTGATACTTTGGAGTTGATAATATATCTTATGTGTGCTCTCCAGTAAGAACTTTTAAGAATTTCGATGGACTCGTTCAATATCAACACTGTTTATTTTGTGCTTTAGTTATCTCATCCAATAAATGTTGCAGATCATGACCAGAGCTGTGTTTGTAGAGAAATATTTATGTCCAACCCTTTGGACATAAATATTCTAAGGAATTCGCCATACACACCTTTGTCATGTTTCTGATATATTTGGCACCAGTTCTGTTTCATTAAATTGTTTTAAAAGGCATTTGATTCCTCTGTTCTTACTCGTCTGTTTTTTTCCCCTGTCCAAATTATTAATCTTGTATTCCTGTCATAGAGTATAAAAACTGGAAGATGGTCTCTGATATCATTACTCAGAAGTCTACTTACTGTCTTATGTTCAATGTAATTTGAAAAAAATTTCTATGAGAGTGACACAATGTAATGCGTCTCTGTTAGGTCTGGTAATTTTAGGGAATAGGTTCATACAGTCATTGTGTTAATGTTATTTAATGTTTATTTGGGTTAAGCAAATCAATAGTAAAATCTCCACAAATGAAATTTTGTTTGTGACCTATTTCTGTAAATGTTTCCTCCATCCAGTCTTTAAAGGCCTCAATACCAATACCTGAAGCTCTGTATGTACAACTAAAAAATGTTTTCTACTTTTGTCTTTAAAGATTTCAACTGTTGTAAATTCCAAGACAATATTAATCACCATTATCATATTATTCCCTACCTTAAATTTCAAATATTTGTCTGGTTTAGATATTCCACCTCCATCTTTGTTTTGCCAAAATATGTACCTGAATCATAACCTTGCTGTTCAAAGTCCATATTATATGTCCATTATCTAATAGTATCCATATTAATCCAAGTTTCAGATATGGCAATGACATTGAATGGATATGAAAACTGGTTTAGATATTCCTTTGTGTGATTAAAATTTGCACATAGACTTCCACAGTTAAAGTGGATGACTGATAATTTATTAATGCTGTGCTGTTCATTTGTATAGTAGCAGCAATACTTATTGATAGATCACCGCACCAGCTTCTTCTCTTCTATTTCATATTCCAAGTCCTGTGTATTGTGATTCATATAGCGAAATGTTTTTTTTAGTTCCAGTTGATCATATTCTGCAATTTAGTGAATGATGCAGTATTAAAAGTTATCCAAAGACCAAACATCAACCATGATCAAAGCCACAGCCCGCTCTGCACCCGACAGACAAGAGGAGATTAGCAGGCTGGTGAGTGGCCTGTAGGCCAAAAGTAATGCAGCATGGGAGATTTAGTTTTTTGGTATCTTTGAATAAATAGACTTTTGTCCCCTTCTTAGGTGCGGAGTGCAAACTATGATGCCGACCCGTTTGTCCAGGAGTTTCAGTTCCGTGTGCGAGATGAGATGGCTCAGGTGACGGGTCGAGTCCTGCCAGCCCCCATGCTGCAGTATGGTGGCAGGAGTTATTAATCCACTCGCTGTGCTGTTCATTTGTATAGTAGCAGCAATACTTATTGATAGATC